TGAGTCGGACCGTGGACTTAGTACATTCCCGGACGTTTCACCGGCATCGTCACCGAGTCTTGCCACTCTCAGCACCAAACTACAACTCGTCAGACACAAGTGAAATCAATCCCTTGACCAACTTTCAGCCGAAACTTTTATGCGTTCACTCTTTTTTCTGTCCTGGCCCCTTTATCCATTTCCTTTGCCCTCGTCCTATCACTATTTCTGACATTTTTATATTCCACAAGAGGTATGCCCTTTTGGAGAATTTACTGTGGTGTCATCACACCTGCCGTTTGCTTTGCTCCCCTTCTTTTTGGGTAACTGATCCGATTCGGGCCTCCCGTCCGGATCTGCCTTATGGGCCAGTAGATCCGTTTCTTATCTTTCTGGTTGAATGATTTCCCTCGGTTCCAGCCCCAGTATACTTTTTACTCCATGCGCTATTTCTCAAGCCTTCATTAGCACGTACAATGTCGCCTAGGCTCTCATTTCCCTGCCTTCGGATATTAGGCATTGTCTTTGCGCATCATCACCTTGATTAAACCCATGTTCCCTGAGCAAACTGTGGATATCTATCCCTGGTCACCGGCTGCATCTAGAGTGGATTATTAATCAATTTGATCATAATGCCCTATTTGTATGACCCAATCACTCCCCTTATCAGGTGAAATGCTTTGTGTATATAAATTGTGCATCAAAATTTACCCATAATTCGGTTTCTTCCAGTGTAATCGTTTTGATCCTCTGAGAAAATGCATATATATGCATTTATTCACTATGTTTTGATAATCTGTCATTTACCTTCTTGAGCTTCAGACATAAACTTTGCTAGGTAGCAAGGCAAACAGCAGGTGTGATGACACCACGGTAAATTCGCCAAAAGGGCATACTTCTTGTGGAATATAAAAATGTAAGAAATAGTGATAGGACGAGGGCAAGACAAGTGGATAGGAAATGGATAAAGGGACCAGGGCAAAAAAAGAGTAAAAGTATAAACGTTTCGGCTGAAAGTTGGTCAAGGGATTGATTTCACTTGTCTCTTTGACGAGTTGTAGTTTGGTGCTGAGAGTGACAAGACTGAGTGACGATACCAGTGAAACGTCTAACAATGTACCAAGTCCACGATCCGACTCTGGAAATCATCATACAAACTACGAACTCTGGACAAGGTGCGTTCCTCTGGGTCTTCATGCCAATATGACGAAGTTAGGAAAACAAGGTCAAATGACTACTATACATCGAAAGGAGACTGCGACTAAAATAGAGGCCACAACACCTTGGTTTTCTTATCTACATTTAAACTACTGAAATAAAAGTAATGTGGAATTCGATAACTTTTTCCCAAGATAGAGCCGAATCAAATAGGTAAGCCCAATATATGTAAAATGTAGCCTCAAATGAGATTTGTTAAACGTGTTTATTAAAAGCATTAATTTCCCTGAAGTACCAGCTTTATCCTGGATTTTCAACATCTGAACTCCGCCTTTGCTAGATAGAATTGGTAGTACATCGAGGAAAATATGTTTTTATTGCGTAACAAACCAATTTATATAGTCGCTGCATCGATTACATATAAATTCTTGCTGTTCTAACTTTTTCCACGCGCAAATAGAAACAAGCCGAACAAGTGATGCGTTGAGATTTATAAATGACTCATCCGAATTGCGACTAGTTAAAACAAAGGGCACCTTCAGAAATTCATATTGTCTTTATAGCACTACTACTTAAGATTCATAAGAAGTAATGAAGTAGAAATGATTAAAGGAATGTAGGATTTTGTCTCTAGACTACGCGTGGAGGGTGCACACAAAGACCTTGCAATACCCAAACAAACCTTTCTGCAGAATGTCTGTCCTGGAGTATAAGCATCTCAGCTGATAATATTCCTAATGCACTCAAATTAGTTTGAAAGACATGAGATTAATTGTCCACATAAACAGCCGGAAGCTCAGCCCCGCCTAATAAGTGTTGCCTACCTGTCCTCGCCTTGGCTCATATCAGTAATTAATCTACAACTGTGTTTACACTTTCAAGGGACACAGTGAGTTGGCAATCAAGCGAGAGAACATTTTCTTAGATAGTTGCATACTGGGAAGAAGGGTATGACCAAATGTGCACTTCAATGGGGTCTTAGCTTTAGGAATATAAGGAAATTGAGCTTAGGTATATTAGCAAACCATATAACTTCTCCATAATCGAGGCAGTGGAATAAAGCTGAATGAATAATCACTTGTAATTGATTCAACCCAACCTCGGGCACTTCCCTATAAATAACATTTTAGCTACTTTTATCGACTATATTATGCAAGCAGACACAAAGCAAGTAATCGAAGGTATGAAGACCAAGATGGTGTGGCCTTTTGTGTGGTAGCAGTCTCCTTTCCTTGTATAGAGGTTGTTTGACCTTTTTTTCTAAACTTGGTCATATTGGTAGGAAGACTTAGAGGAACGCACCTAGTCCGGATTCCATTGTATGTATGATCATTTCCAAAGTTGGACCGTAGACGTAATACATTCTCAGACGTTTCGCCGGCATCGTATTCAGCATCGTCAGTGAGTCTTGCCATTCTTAGCACGACACTACAACTCATGAAAAAGATAAGTGAAGCCGATCCTTTGACTAAACGTGTGCTAAACAGTTGAGGTATCTCTCCTTTTGCCCTGGGCTATTCACATTTCCTATATCCTCGCATCACGCCCTCACTGTTACAATGTTTACCGTTCTTATTTAGATGAAGTGTGGTGTGCGCCTTCGAGCGGTATTCATGAAAACGCTCAGCACTCCACGCTGGCGTTCTCATACCCTGCACCCTTTTGCTGATAATGTTGATAGGTCTGAAATATTCTTACGCAGTCCTCCTTCCCCAGATCTTATCACAGTCTCTCTCTTGCCTCGTAAGATCCATCTGCGCTCTCCCTGGTTTACCTAATTCACTCGACCCCTGCAACCCATCTGTGCTACTCGAGGCGTTATTACGCCTCCCCTACGTCTGGGTGTTAATCCGAGGCTAAAGCATCTAATTAAGTCTCATGGTCAAGCCTTTGCTGCATAAACCACGTCGCTGGTAAAACCTACTGTCAGCCAACTAGCTCCAGTCTCCGCCGCGTCTATCCTGTTGCTATCCCTAATACCAAGTCTATAACTTCTTATGTCCTAGTCTCTTGTATGACACAAATGTTGTATTGCTTGCTTTGATTAGGTTCAATGTAGAACCACAACGTATGTGGGTTGGCACACAAAGGACTAAGACATATGAAGTCATAGACTTGGCATTAGGGATGGCAACAGGATAGACGTGGCGGAGACTGGAGCTAGTTGGCTGACAGTTGGTTTTACCAGCGACGTGGTCCATGCAGGAAAGGCTTGACCATGAGAGTTACTAAGATGCTTTAGCCTCGGATTAATCACCCAGACGCAGGGGAGGCGTAATTACGCCTCGAGTATGGTTAAAGAGAACACGAGGTTTTATTGATGGTGCAATATTATCTGCAATATTGAAGTATTCTTGACAATACTTCTTATCCAGCAATAATAAGAATCTTCCAAGTATTTCTATAAGTCCAATTTTTATATGGCATCACTTACCAATGAACCGCATGGTTTTTATTTTTGATTCAAGATTGATCTGATCACGCTTGTTAACATGCCAATGGAACTCGTTGGTAAGGCCAGCGCAGACTTCTGCGGCCAAATCTGGTGCTACAGGAGCTAGAGCAGCAGTAAGGCGTGCATAAAATGGGAGTAGGTCCAAGCGAGAACGCGGAACAGAGACAAGAGCGCGAGCCAGTCGACGACGACTTGGCTTCCGATTCAAATTGAGACAGAAATCGATGGCTGCCTACAGAAGATTAAAAAATTATATGGGTAATCACCATATAGTGATTATTGGCAGGATTTATTTTAAAATATAACGTTATACATCGATATATAATGGGTTCAGACAGCGATAAACATTATTCTTGGGACTTTCATTTCGTATGAAATGCGGTTCTTGGTTACTCGGTTAAACTTCTCTATGCCAAATATACTTGAGGGGAACTTTAAATGAAGAAATATGGCTGTTAGAGTCAAGAGACATGAAAACTTCTCAAGAGAGTGCGAGAAAAAATTATTCAAAAAAATACAGCCACGTTACCTATGGGCGCACAAAATGGTTAAGGCAGAACAGGTCTCTGAACCACATGTATTGTGAGGATAATTTCTAACTCTGATTTTTGGAAAAGTACGGATACTTTGGAAGTCGATGTTTCGCATTTGTTTAAAAACGTGATAGAAAAAGATCCGGCGATATGCATTGGTGGTGGCTGAGAAAAGGTCTTCGGTGCAGTGGATATTTTAACAGGCAAATTATGATTGAGATCGCCACAGTTGTCAGGGCATCACTCTATGTATTTAGAAAATCTAACCTTGGCTTTCGTCTGAAGCAGACATCTTCAAGGCAGAATTGTATTCTGAACATAAATTCAAATTAAGGGTAGATAAAGCTAGGTTGTATATAATTCTTAGTTCTACCATTGACATCTAATTTGCGTCTATTTCCTACTTATTTATTCCAATTAATGCCCTGATCTTAGATCTCTGGCTAGTTGTGATATTGGGCTTCAAATGTTTTA